ATAGCATATGATGGTTAGCAGGGGTAAAAGCTTAGGGGATTCTCAGGTCTTTTCTCATGTGTTCAATCATGTCCATGCCTGTAACCATCTTCATTATTGGAATATGTGGGAGATTTTCAAAGTCCTTATTTCCCAATGCAACTCACTCCCCAGTGTTTTTCTCAGGGTTTTCAGGTTGTCCCTTGTATGCCTCTGTTGTTATGCTTTGCTCTAAATGGCAGTGGCAAATACATTTACTTTTAAATGTTTTTGACAAATGCCTCCTGGTTAGCACCTCCACCTAGGTAGTTGTTTGAGGTAGGCCAAATAAAGACAAGCACTTTGCGCCATTCTTTCAGGCAGTCAGCAGGCAGATTTTAAAAAAAAGTTCTACAATTCTTTATAAGTTCTGTTTTGTCCCATCTGATTCTGGGAGCCTGTACCACGTTATAGGCTGCCGTCTTCAAGGCCACTGCCAACTGGGGAACAGAGGATAAGGTCAGGGTAAGTTAAAACACCTGCCTTTTTTATGGTTAAGAGTATGACTGGTTACTGGAATTCTTTGATTAATTTCTAGAGTTCTTTTAAAGTAGATTCTAACAGTTTTCGTTACTTCATTTCCTGCTTTTATAGAAGGAAGTACATTTGGAGTTTTCTCCTTTGCCTTTTTTGATGTCACATTTCCCCATTGTTAATCTTTATAATGTTATATATTTACCTGTAGCTCTTATTTCAAAATTAGTGATTCTCATATTTTCTAACTCTCAAATTGTGCGCTCTTTCTGAAATATAAGTCTTTTTGTTCTTATGGATGAATTCCTTTTATATGTATATAATATTATGTATTATACATATTATATATGTTTATAAATACTTATTATTTCCTGCTGGATTTGTCTTGAATAACTAAATTGTTTATTAGTGTTTATTCTGATTAATAATTTTTAGCATATATTATGTAGTATAACCAAAGCACACTGATTGTTATTGTTGCAATATGCCTTTCTGCATGGATATAGTTTGTAAGAAGTATTCAGAAGAATATTTTGTTATTCTTTAAGTGTTGTTTTTAATGTTGTGTATAATAAGTATTAAGCAATTAGCTTTACCATCTACTTTTTTTCGCAATGTGAGACACCCATATATCTCCTGTGAGTGGTGTGTGTTTTGGGATGCCTGTGGAAAAATTCCCCTTCTTCATTTTCCAACTGTGGTTAATAGGAAGCCTATGATTATTTATATCTTACAGATATCTCTACTAGATGTGTGATCAAAGAATTATCACCAAAAGAAGACATTAGTAATGGAGAATTATTTCAAATATTGATTTTAGAAAGAGATATAAGTCATGATTTTAATGATTTTGATTTCAGGGAAGTCCAGCAAAATATGCACAAGGTTGAGGATCAGTGGGTATGTGAAGAAAAAAATTATGAAGGAGATCCTACAATCCATTACAAAAACCACATTGGTAAAAGAGATCAACGGCATCATAAACCTTGGAACAATTTCCCTGTAAAGCAAAATAGTTCTGTAAGAAGTGTGTCTCAATATTATAAACATGACAAGTCATATAAAAGGGAAAAAGAACGAAAAAATAGTGTAGCCTATTCAGGAAACGAGTACATAAAATGTTGGGAAAATAGGCTTGGATTAAGCTTTCATTCACACCTGGCTGAACTGCAGAGATTTCAAACTAAAGAGAAAATTTATGAATATAATCAAGTTGAGAAGTCTATCAAATATCGTTCCTCAGTTTCACCACTTCAAAGAATTTCTCCTAGTGTAAAAACCAACATTTGTAATAAGTATGGGAAGATTTTTACATATGCTTCATTGCTTACTCAACACCAGAAAACATACATTAGAGAAAAACCTTTCAAATATAATGACTGTAGGAAGGCTTTTAGCCATTGTTCAACTTAGCTAATCATCAAAGAATTCATTCTGAGCAGAGACCTTACAAATGCAATAAGTGTGACAAAGCCTTTAACAGGTTCTCAAACCTCACGAGGCATCAGAGAATCCATACTGGAGAGAAACCTTACAAATGTAATGAATGTGGTAAGGATTTTACCACATGTTCACACCTTTGGGATCATGAGCGAATTCATACTGGAGAGAAACCTTACAGATGTAACGAGTATGGCAAAACCTTCACAGGGAGTTCAAACCTTACTCAACATAAGAAAATACATATTGGAGAGAAATCGTATAAATGTAACATACGTGACAAAGCATTTAGTCAGAATTCAAGCCTTACAGTTCATCAAAGAATTCATACTGGGGAGAAGCCTTACCAATGTTGTGAATGTGGTAAAGCCTTTAAGCAGTGCTCAAGCCTCAGTAGGCATCAGAATGTACACAGAGTGAAGATACACATGCAGAGGCTGTGGTAATGCTTTTATTAAATGTTCACACCTTTGAGGTCATGAGAGAATTCATACTTGGAAAGAAACTACAAAAGAATGTAGCAAGGCCTTCAGGCCATGACCTGGCCTCAGGATTCACCACAGATTTCATACTGGAGAAAGTGCTTACAATTATAGTGAGTGTGGTAAGTTGTTTAAGTAGATTTCACAATGTGCTAGCATTAGAGAATTCTTACTAGGGAAAACTAAGTCTAGTCCCACTTGAAGATTAATCAAATCAAATGCTACACTCCGCAGAGTAAGTCAAAATTATTTATTCTTCCTGAGACAATGGGTGTCAAAGAAGCAAGGTCATCTGTGGAAAAGCCTAGTTATCATTGGTTTATAAAATATTTTTATTTTAGGTTTTTTGATAAGGCTATATTATGATTGACTTTCAACTTGTGTTTCAAAATATGTCAATGATATGTCTTCACAGACCTTCTTTGTGTCGCTATGATGGTACCTGTGGAGGAACTTCTTTTATTTTTTGGTCTTAATGTAAATGCTATTTTGATTTTAATTTTGTTTATTGCTGGTATGTAGGAAGGCAGTTAGCTTTGTACATTAACTTTGTATCCTGCAACCTTGCTATAATTGCATATTAATTTTTATGTACTGTACTTGAAGACACTTCTGCATTTTGTTTTCTTAATCTTTCTCTTTTTGCCTTGAAAACCCAATGATGAGACAGTTCATTAATTCATATGGTCACCAGGAGTTGGAGTTGAATCAGGGGCACGTAACGTAACACTTTACGACATCATATGAGATTGTTTAATAATTGCAGTGATAGGTACCCACTCTGTTTTGTTCTAAAAACAAGTTAAAAATTATAAGTGAGTCATAAAAAAAAATCTATTACCATATTAATACCAAGCCTGTCTTGCAATCATTAAGTCCGACATCGTCTTGGGGCAGGTTCCTGTTTTACTGTATTGCAACCAGATCATCTGCATTTTATTATGGTCTCAAAAGTTTTATGCATAATTGTTATTAGCATATAGAATAAATCTTTACACATACAGTTTTAAAATTATAAAATAACATACCACTGATCTAAAATATGGCGATAAGTTATAAAAACAAATACAGATTTAGATTATGGGGAGAACATAGCTAATGAGCTTTTTCAGGATGATTAAATACTGTACATAATAACCATCCCCACAAAGTTTAAGTCTGTAATCTGCTGATAAACAGGGTGTGAAGTTAGTGCAGTCACTTAACTCTGTAAGTTCTCTTCAGATGGAAATAGTAATTCTCACTTCCAAGATTTGTGAAGAATGAAGATTTTACTGGCCTTCACAGCAGTGATTCTTACATTATGTGTTTTCTTAAAGTTCCACATTTGATTCTTAAAAGACTTTTGTGAAAGTAAAAATTAAGTAAATATTTCTCAGTGGGAAATAATGGTAAGTGGAGAATACTGGATTTCAGTTGAAATGATAAGTGTATTCCATGCTTCACATTCTCCTGTAGCATACCCCAGAAGAAAAATGTCAGACTTTGGGAACTAACAGATGGCCTCCAGGTTTTTAGCAATAGGAATAATCTTATCACAGACTACGATTAGAATCCTGGGGAATTTCTTCTGTACCATTATATCTTCCTTTCCTTCACTAGAATGAAGGTTAAGGTGCACAGATTTGATTGTCAACCACCTGCTGGTAGCCAGCTTCTTAGATCATGTTTATAGGAATCTCCAGTACAGTGACAGCTATTGGGTAGAAACATTTTCTCAAGATTTTGGATACAAATTTGTTTACTGTGTTCACAGAATGATATTGTACTGTACTTATGTAAGATGCAAATATCAGAGGAAACAAGTTTACAAGGAGCTATCTTTGCATCTACCTGTTCATATATAATTATTTCAAAATAAAAAGTTTAAAAATTGAACATGGCGTGCTGTGTTTTTATAAAATTCAAATCTAGCTCTTTGTTCATATGAGAATAAAGGGTGTTGTAAATGAGTCGAAAAACAATGTTTTTCTTCATTTTTAGATTAAGTTTTTTAAAATTACTGTTGACATTCAATATTTCATGTATAAAGCATAGTGGTTAGACATTTATATAACTTATGAAATGATCTCCCCAATAAGTCTAGTTAAAAACAATTCTTGAAACTGTCTACTCATTGCCTCCTTTCGAATTTTTAAGGATATGCCTACATCCTACGTAATGTGGATCTACTCTACTTTCAAGAACTGAATCGAGAGCAGATTCAGTTCTTGTGATTCTTTCAACTTTTGTTTCTTTTTCTTTTTATTTCTTTTTCTTTTATTGGGGTGACGGTTAATAAAATTATATAGATTTCAAGTATACAATTCAGTAAACATATGTATTGCATTGTGTGTTCACCACCCAAAGTTTAATTTACTTCTGTCACCATGTAGTTGACCCCCTTTACCATTAGCTGCCTCCTCCCCTCCCCCTTCTTCCCTCTGGTAGAACTGTGGGATCTGATGCTATCTCTGGGTAAACTGTTGTCCATGAGTCTCTGTTGTGTTTCTTTGTTGCTTTCAGTTTTATATCCCATATGAGTGAAATATGGTTCTCAACTTTTTCTGTCTGACCTACTTTGCTCAGCATGATAATCTCAAGATCCATCTATGTTGTTGCAAATGGCACTATTTCATCTTTTCTATGGCTGAGTAATATTCCATTGTATATATGTACCACATCTTTATCCAATCATCTATTGGAGGACACTTTGGTTATTTCCATGTCTTGGACACCGTGAATAATGCTGCTGTGAACATTGGGATGCGCATAGCTTCACAGAAATGTTTTCAAAATTTGGGTATAAATACCCAGAAGAGGGTCATATGGTAATTCTATTCTTAATTTTTGAGGAAACTCCATACTGTTTTCTATAGTGGCTGTACCAATTTGCATTCTTACCAGCAGTGTATAAAGGTTCCTTTTTCTCCACAACCTCTCCAACATTTATTACTTGTCCTCTTCATGATAGCCATTCTAACAGGTGTGAGGTAGTATCTCATTATGGTTTTGATTTGCATTTCCCTAATGGCTAATGAAGTTGAGCATCTTAAGCTTTGTTAATTCAGAAATTTAAAAAGTGAAAAGATTCTTTTCATTTCTGAATTAATAAAGCTTCAATCTTTCCCTTAAGAACAGGGACCTGAATCTCAAGCATTTAAGGCAGAGATTCTCAAGAGACTCACCATGGAGAAAGGACACAAAAGAACAGGTCTTGTGGAGGGAATGTATCCTCGCACACAAAGACCAGTTTTCTATAGTTCTCTAATATGTCATATGCCCCTGTTCATAAGGCCTGTGAGGATGGTCCAGGTATACTCTAGTGCTTTTATGAGAATTTTATGGACATTGGTGAATGTCACAATCCTTGAAATAAAACATTTTCTGAAGTAGCAATAGGGAGATTCATTTTTACCCAACATGAGACAAGAGTAGGAGTATGAATGGGTTCTGGCGTAGTGAGGATTACCAGTTGGGTTTGGTGGCAGAACTTCCAGGTCTTCATTTTGGACAAGTTGCTAAACTTTTGTAAGTCTCAGATTGCTCCTTTGAGATTATACTTGTCCTGCAAATTTCATTTGGCTATTGCGAGGCTCACAGGGGAACCTCCGGTGAAAACCTGGTAAATAGAAGGCACTGTGTCGGAAACCAGCCGACCAAGTCAAACCAGGTACCTGAATGGGGGAGCGGGGACTGAGAAAAAAGAGAAGACAGACAGGGTGCAGGAGGGAGAACAGATCTCACAACTGTCTCTCCGAGTTTATTTCTTATGCTCCTTTTTATACATAATCTGTTCCTTTTTGTATCCCAAGATAACATAATTAAAGTAACATCCTGAAGATCAAGGTACAATCAATACTTCCTTTGACACTCCCTTCGACACTCCCTTTGACACTCCCTTTGACACTCCCTTTTTCTATTCTTAATCTTCTTCTTCCTGGAATTCCTCAGAACCAGCCTTTTCCCTTTTATATGCAAGCAGGCTTCCTGAGATAATCCATGCACTCTTTTGAATTTTGGGAGCTTTAGCTCCCTACAGCACTGTACACGTGTGAGCCCTCCTATTATAAGCCATAGAATTTGGTATCTTAATTCAAGAGATTCTCAGTCTAATATACCCCAAAAGCATTCTCAGCTAGTCTTTTTGGGATATTTCTACCTCGTTGAGAATCCAAATTGACAAATGGGAATGTCAGACTGGACGTTTAAGAGGCCTATATCAGTCAGGCTTTAGTTTTGACAAAAGCTCGATTGCAAGCTAATTGCCGCTTTTCAAAAGTAGTTTACTTGTGTCAAACCTGAGTCTAAACTCCAAAAGGCAGAACCAGGCACAGAGACTTGGATTGTCTCTATTGCTCTCAAAGTCTAATAAGGGGGTTTGCCTCCTTTTTGATGGAAGGGGAAGGGTAAAAGTTTTATTTTTCTTTAATACTGGAATCATTGAACATTGCACATCTTTCCTATTATTATGTTCATATGTGAACATAATAATATCAAGACACATGCATATGCATGTGTCTTGATATTATTATGCCCACAAATTTCCTATAAAGTTTAATTGGAAAAGAGAACTCTGAATTTGTTGTATTTTATTAGTCTTCTCCACTGGCAGAGGAAACATGCTAGGCAGAGCTGACAAGGCTAGTGTCTCTAACTTTCCAAAGAAACAAAACATTACCTATGTAATTAAAACTGACATCGGAGGGTAGAGGCAAATGTGTGCACAATATCCTTAGCTACCCACTGATGGAAAATGTCAAGGGAGTATGTTTCATTATCACTGCTCTCCCTACACCTCACCCTGAAGATTTTCCTATAAATAAATCCACATTTGATCCAGATTCAGTACCCAATATCTCTCAATATCCAAGTCATGTAGTAGAGCCATAATGGTGGACAGCCCCTAATACATCTACCCATCCCAACACACACAATGACATACACACAGATACAGACGCATGCACACTCAATCAAATATGCATTCACATACTTATGCAATACATCCTCACATGCACATTCCACCATAAACATACTCATCCACAGATTTACTACATAGAAATACATTAATACTTAATATGATATACATTCATGCAAACTCTATCTCATTCTCAATCAAAAAAATCAAACCCACATAGTATATGCATGTGTCTTGATATTATTATGTTCACATATGAACAAAATAGTGGTATTTCCAGACCTCATCAATTCACCCTTTGTACCAACACTGTACCAGTGCATGGGGATGATATTACAATGTCTAAGATGTAAAAAGGGATTATACTTCGTTTTGGCCACTGGCACTTCAGCAATAGCTGCAGAAGGGAAGAGGTGTAAACAGTTTTCTTAATTTCCTTTTCAGATTGTCCATCAATGTATAAAAATACAACTGATTTATATGTTGACTTTACATCCTGCCTTTTTGCTGAATTAGTTTATTTCAGTAGATTTTGTTTTCATTTAGTAGAATCTTTAGGGTTTTCTACATATAAAGACATGTCTTCTGTGAAGAGATAATTTTACTTCCTTTCCAATTTGGATCTTTTTTTCTTTTTCTTGCCTCAATTCTCTGGCTAGAATTTCCAATACTATGTTAACTAGAAATGGTGAAAGTGAGCATCCTTGTCTTTTTCCTGATCTTAGGGGTAAAGCTTTCAGTTTTTTACCATTGATTATATTCTTAGCTATAAGTTTTTCATATATGGCCTTTATCATTTGAGGTAGTAAAAGATCTAGACAGTAATTCCAATGTTTTGGGGGTGGCTCCCCCCACACCACCAAGCAATTCCCCAATACCAGCTGGATGTCCTACAATTCAAACAATTCTGACACTATCTATGCAGAGATAGCATCAGATCCCACAGGTTAAGGGCAAAGTCCCACACGACTTCCCTCCACTTCAGACATTGATCAACAGTTCAGGTTTTTACCTGCGCTTCTGACAAATTGGCTATAAATTGGAAGTTCCAATGACCCTCTTCAACTCAGTTGCAAGTCCAGGTTGTTACCCATAGTTCTAACTGACTGGCTATAAATTAGAGATTCCCATGACCCTTTCTTTGGGTTTGGATAATTTGCTAGAGTAACCCACAGAACTCAGGAAGCCCATTTACTCATTAGATAACTGGTTTATTATAAAAGGATATAACTCAGAAATAGCCAGATGGAAGATGCATAGGCTAAGGTATGGGGAAGGGGCATGGAGCTTTCATGCTCTGAGTGCTCCACTCTCCCCAAATCTCCATATGTTCACCAACTCAGAACATCTCTGAACTCCCTACAATGGGATTTTATAGAGGCCTGCTCAAGTCCATTTCTACTCCCTAATATACCTCTATGGAAAAGTCATGTGTGTGTGTGTGTGACATGGGAATGGAAATTCCAAGCTTCTGATCATGACTTGGTCTTTCTGGTGCCCAGGAACCATCCAGGAGCCTACTCAGAGTTGCCTCATTAGAACAATAGAAGCTCCTAGTGCTTTTATTACTTAGGATTTATAAGGGTTATAGGATCCCAGCATTAGGAACATGGTCAAAGACCAAATATTAGAACAAGAGATGCTCTTAGTGCTCATATATTTGGAAAGTTACAGGTGCTTTGTGCCAGGAACATGTATTTTCCTATTATTTTACAGGTAGTTTTGTTCATTCCTAGTTTGTTGACTTTTTTTTTTTTTTTTTCCATAACATGAAAGGTACTGGATTTTGTCAAATACTTTTTCTACATCTATTGTGATTATCATGTATTTTCCTCCTTCATTCTTGTAATGAAGTGTATTACATTGATTGATTTTCTTGTGTTGAACCATCCTTGCATTTTGGAAATAAATGCAAGTCACTTTTATAATCTTCTAAATATGCTGCTTAATTCAATTTACTAGTATTTTGCTGAGAATTTTT